CCTAAACTACTGTTTTCCTTTTTTTATCTTTTTTTTCAGTTATCAATTTGACTGTATGATCTGGTTGAACTGTAAAGTGCCTTGAGATGACATGTGTTGTGAATTTGGCGCTATATAAATAAACTGAATTGAATTGAATTGAATGTATGAAATCCCACTTGTGCAATATATAAAGTCAGTTTTAATCAATATTTCAATCCAATTTGTATGCTTTGGATTTACTGTTTTGTGGTTACATCTCCAGTACCAATAAAACCAAATCTATTCAGTACAAACCTTCATTTGTTGGTTTAAATCTAGGAAACATTCAGGAGGCCAGAACTCAAACCAATAACAGCCTCTAATTAAACCACAGAAGGAAACATCTAATGTTTTACAAGTTGCTAATATGCTTTACAAACACAGCAATCGTCAGGATGATGCAAACATCACTAAAATAGGGGATCTAAGAATATATTCAGCTTACTATAAAAAGGTAATACTGAGATACGTGAAAAATATTTTTCTAATATTTTGGCTAAACCTAAGATCCAGGATAAAATAAATAAAACAATTTGTATTTTTTTTCCCCCTTAATTAACAGTTTCTGAATTTCAGCCCTGGAGAGCCGGTGTCCTGCAGCTTTCAGATGCGTCTCCGCTTCCACACACCTGAATCAAGTAATCAGGTCTCTAGAGAACTTCTCTCAAACTGATTTAATTAAATTACATTTTTTAGCTCTCATTCCTTCACCTTTCATTAAATCAACAATAAAGACACTTTTGTTGGTAGGAAAAGAAGTCCAGAATGTACTGAATCCAGACAGCCTTTAGCTTTTCATAAGGTGATTAAAAAAAAACTTTAGAGGATGCTAGTCAAAACTGAGACTACAGCCTTCCCCAAAAGAACTACAAAAGATGCAGTACACACACAAATGCAGTGAATGGCTGAACCTCTTAGAAATAGGCAACACGTAAAGGTGTGTACATCTGCATTTGTCACACAGAGTACTAATACATTTCAGGGGTTGAAATTAAGGATTTTTACCACTTGCCCAAAGGGCAAGTGACTTTCACATTTAATTAGCCAAGAAACAATTTTTACTTGCCCAGTATAATGTCTGATAAATATAGTTCCTAATATTCCTTTTTGTATATATATCAATGAAATGTTTGTTTTTTTTAAATGTTTTTTTGTAATTCAGTAAGTTTCCAGGTTCCTGGTGTGTATATGCATGCGTCAGATAATGAACCCAAGCCTACATTACCGTGTTAACATGCTTTTCAATCCTTCCTGCACATTCTTTTCAAACTAAACTTTGGCTTTTTCAAATCCCGCGAGAATGTGTACAAAACATCAAAGATGGCGCCCGCAACGCTTGTGGGTCATTTTCAGCGAATGTCAGTGATTTTAAAGTAATTTTTAAGTGATAAATAGATCCCTAGGCCTTTAGGTTGTGTTAAAATGCTTCAAGTTGGTTTGTTGCCATACAGAAAATTCAAACTAAACACTTTTTCACACCATGGTTACAATAAAGTCCTGTAACAATGGACTCTGGGTAAGCAAGGTTTAAAAAACTAAAAGCTTGGGATGAAACATCTTCAAACTTCGGGGGTAGTGCAGAAAAAAATTGAAATAAAACTGTAATTTTTGTAAAAAAAAAAATAAAATAAAAAAATAATCACAATTTAGATTTTTGGCAAAATAGTTCAGCTCTACTGGATATTATCCAGAGTCTTTAGCGCAAGGATATTTTCATTATATTGTTACTTAAATTATGCTGTTAACATAAAGACACCTCCATGGTTTTATCTTCTGCCATGTTTGCACTTTCAACATGCACAACATTCACAATATCCTGGTATAAGACATGATGTTAGCAGTTTTTTTTCATTATTAGACTTAACACAAGGACATTTCAAAGGAAATGCGTAAATGGATTGGGAGATACTCACCACCAGTGGTGGACCACCGGTCAGTGGTCTATAAGACCAGTGAACAGACATCTTACTGGTTGGTGGGCTTGTAGAGGTGAATGTGCACGGCAACATGACCGTATCCCCTTTAGATGCATGGACCTCTGCTGGAGTGGTTACGTGGATGCCGGAAACTTGGGAAAGGCCTGGAGATGAAATTATGCAAGATCACAATGATGACTTAAGTTAAATTGGAAATGAAATATAAATGATAGAAGCTGCTTTGCTTGTTTAGGAGTAACACAGAAACTAAAGTAGGAAATACAACTAAGAGTGACTTTTGGGTGGCATTTCATCTACTTTTATATGAAGAAAAAGGATCATATCTAAGGAGAGCTGGCAGCTTTAGTGCATTAATTGTGGTTATTAAAAAGAATCTGCATTTTTTTAGCTTAAAAATAATGTGCTACTGCGCTGAAGGGAAATATCTGCCCGAGTGTGGAAAGGACACACATTAATGCTCTTTAACACGCACAGCGACATCCTCCTCTGGCTCAGAAACCGATGACCGACAAGGTCCTTTAAGAGCGTAATATATGTGAATACATTATCGAACCAGAGTACAGTTGCTTTCAGAGATCAACTAGCACCACAAGAGTTCGGCTGGAGCTCTAATAGTGCACATTAGAGTTGGATTGTGATATCACCCCGACCCTAACAGAACTAAAGCTGCAGGTGTAAAAAAAACAAAAAAAACACCTATTTAAGTAATCATCCAAATTTTTCATATGGTTTTATTGTCTTTTTTTTTTTTTTAAGTAGCTCAAGATTGGTCTGATATATTTAATCTCTCACAGGAAGCAGTGTTGCTGTTATTCTTCTAAATGTTTGGAAGTTGGTCTGAATTCCACTTTTTGTTAAATAAAAAAGGTTAGTTTGATTCTCATTAAAGACTTAAATATTCTACACTGCGAGTGTAGAACTGCCTTGATATACATAACCATATTTTAAACATGCAAATGTAACTGTGATTAACAGCAATTAACTTTAAAGCCTCTGCAATAAAAAAAAAAATTTAAATTAATTTGACAGCCCATCTAAACTTTTTATTTTAATGGAACCACATAAGCGGCCACACTTTCTCACCAGAAAGGAGTGTCTTATTGCATTCGACAAGCCTGTTCAACATCTGCACATGAAAGGTCTTTAATATGAAGGGTGTCAAGCAAAAACTTTGCTGTTTGCTTGTTGCTACTATTAGGGCAAGAAAAGATGTGTTGTTTCGGGTCAGCCCACCTTTCCGTCTCCGCTCTCGCAGCATAAGATTTATGCTCTAAAATTGCAGATCTTGGTAAAAAGAGAAGAACCCTTTTATTTTGTTTTGGTTTTACTTCATAAAAGATGCTTCTCAGAAGGCTGTAATTCCCACTCAGCTCATCTTGGAGTCTTGTTGATGCATGCATGTGGTGACTCCAACAACCTTAGAGATCAGCAGGCAGGTTTTGATTTGCACCAGACTTGGAATGTGCTGGAGGATGGACCTCCATGTGGCTTAAAAACATCAGCACTTGATGATTGTTGTAGTACAAGTCGACAGAATTGACAAATACTCCTAAATAAATGTCGAAAAGTCTTCAGAAAAACTGAGAGAAAAGTCAGTTTGCTTCCAGTTTTAGACCGTTTTGTGCTCGCCATGACCCGATGACTGAGACAGGCATTGTTGCCAAAAAAGTTGAGAACCAGACGCACTCAAAGAAACCTCACATCAGATGTTTTGTAGAGAAGGGTTAGGAAACCTAAAGTCGATAAACTTAATACGACTTTATGAAATTCCTGTTGAAACCAACTGTTTTTTCTCTCTCAAATGTTGCTGTAGCAAATCATTTAGCTTTATTACTAATTTTGGAGCTGCCATTTCTGATGAATATATTTGCATTTCCAAGTCATTCCATTGAAATAAGGAAGAGCAAATAGCCTGTAATAAATTAAGCCAATCTTAGGTTTTAATGAACTCCAGTCGTCATGATAAGAAAACCCAAACCCAAAGAGAGGATATGTACGGAAGAGGATTAGTGTGCAAAAAAAAAAAAGAGAGTGAACTGATTTTTACATTTTATTTCAGTTTAATATGGGAAAAAAGTCAGAATTCTGAGTTTAAAGTCAGAATTCTGACTTTTTTCTCAGAAGTCTGACTTTTTTCTCGGAATTCTGACTTTTTCCTCGGAATTCTGACTTTTTTCTCGGAATTCTGAGTTTAATCTCGGAATTCTGACTTTTCTCTCGGAATTCTGACTTTTCTCTCGGAATTCTGACTTTGATCTCAGAATTCTGACTTTAATCTCAGAAGTCTGACTTTTTTCTCAGAATTCTGACTTTTTTCTCAGAATTCTGACAGCTAACAAACATGTTAGCATCAAGCCATAGTCATGTCTGTTTTAGAGACTAGCTCTCTTGTTTTAATGACCTTCTGCTCCTCCATTAATGAGGGGACGCCTCGGGCATGTAAAAAGTTGCCTAATTCCGTCATTTTCCACCAACGTGTCACTGGCCACCTCAAATAACTCACATCTTTGTCAGTGAAGCTGAGTGCTTCCACATCTCTTCCTTCATGGTGCTCGTCTATATTAAGATCCAGAATTCTAAGATTAAAGTCAGAATTCTGAGAAAAAAGTCAGAATTCTGAGAATAAAGTCAGACTTCTGAGACTAAAGTCAGACTTCTGACCTTTTTTCCCCATATTAAACTGAAATAAAATTTAAAAATCAGTTCACTTTTTTTTTTTTTTCAGTAGCCCTAATCCTCTTCCGTAGATATGAGAGCTGTTGAGATGAATCAGATTTTTCTACAAAGACCCCAGGGTGAGCGAGTAAACAACACCAACAGAACGGTTTCCTCTTAAAAGATGAAACCAAGCAGAGGCCCATTTTAAGGGAAACACTCTAGACCTCAGCGACATGATGGACACGGATAATGTGGTAATTGGAGGTTTCACAGGAAGTCTGGCAGATCATTAGTTATCGTTGCACTGACACCAACTGTCTGAGCATTTTGGGGTTTTGAAGGGATAAGAACTAAAATGAGAAGTCAAAAAAGATAGAGAGGGATCCTAATTATAATTTAATACAGTCTATGATTTTTCCTGAAATACTACAAGTTGATAGAATTTATTTTATGATTAATGCATGTGCTTGTCAAACCCTAATAAAACCTGGCTATTATGTGCTAAAGCTAATAATTTCCTAAGCAGTTTATCTAATTAAAACAAGATTTGCAAATGAAATGGGAGTTTATGGACAGAGCAGATTATACTCAGAGAGCTCTCTCACTATGCATTTGGAGTGTTCTTGACCCAGAACACTGTATTATTTTTGATATAACTGGGGCCAGTGATCATCTCCTCATTTTACTAACATGCATGATGTAGCGATGTGGTGATGTGGCAGGCTGTGTATAAAATGCTTCTTTTACTGGAATTCTGGGCCGACTTTCTAAAGAAGTGAGCCCGGAGGTAAGCGCTGCCATCTAATCTGAGCCATTGATCTGGTCTGAGTAAGATTACAATTTCTCTCAAAACCTGGTGTTATGTCTCAAAGAAATGTAATACACAAACCTTATAAAGGGTTATTTAAAGTGTTTTCTTAGAGGGATTTCTTCTCAGGAAAGAATCGGGGAGAAAAAGCCTAAAGATGTAAACTTGGAGCTTTCCTTTAACACAGTCTTGCATAAAGTAACAATCAGTACGGTTTAAATGGTGAATTTTGATACCTATATAGCACTTTTTCAGGTCAGGGTACTCTAAACTGATTCGCCCTACATAGAGTCAGTCACACACTGATGGGGACAGACCTCATGGAGGCCACAGCTGCCCTGGAGCTCACTGAAAGAATGGAGGCTGCCATGCACATACGCTGCAGATCTATCTGACCACCATCATTTGGATGCTTTATATCCACTGGCAGTTCCTGATTCCAATCACCATTTGATTTTTATAAACAGTAACTGCACAACCCCTGTGGCTGCAGTGTCTTGGAAAACATTCATACTCATTTTTGTCTATCAAACAAAAATATGCATTGGATGTGTATTCGGCCTCCTTTAACCCTCTTTCCTCTACAAGCCACTGGGATGGCCAAAACTACTCAACTAATCTACTAACCAATAAACTTCCTCAGCATCAAAAGACCAGGAAAGTTCAACACCCTGTCAGTGCCTCCCTGTCACGACTTAATGATGTTCTGACCAACTGGCCTCCATCTTCACTCAGACTTTCAACAAGCTTTTATACCTCATGCTACAAATAGTACACCACCCTTCCAGTCCCAAAGAAGGTCATCATTACAGAGTTAAATGACCGGTATGGAAGGATTAGAGAGACATCACATGTTCCATGTTGGACCAAAAGGAGTTTAATAACCAGGTAAGGTCAACAGATGAGCATTTGACCTGGGACTACACTCTATCCTACATCTGGAACATCCAGGGATGAACAGCAGGATCCTGTTTGTCGACGTCAGCTCCGCCATCAACACAGACATCCTAAACCAGAATCTCCCCCAGTTCTCCTCCCACTGCTCTCTGTACAAAAATGGCTGTATCCAATTGGACTTGTAGGGAAATATCTAATACATGTATGTCCTGAGGACATGGTTTAAAAACCACTGTTGTAAGGGAGAGCAGCACGTCAAAACTAAATGAAAAGACATTTATTATGAATATTGTGGCAATAATTACACATTATTGTAAAGAAGCAGCATAAAACAAGTCATCTACAGTGCATACAGTCAGGGAGGATTTACCATTAGGCAATACTAGGGCCCCAAGTTCCTGGGAGCCCCATAAAACTCTGTTTACATGTATGGTTAATACCACTATTCCTTATTTGTACACATTATGTTTTTGATAAAAATCCTTTCGCTAAAATGCCATCAGGATGCTTATAATATTAGTGTGTCTCAGCCCCCCTCAGTGTCCACCATATTGGATCAGTCCATTTGCTGCGCATGTTCAGAAAGGTCCAAACAGACAGCAGCAAACCATTTGAAAACAAACAATGCAAAGAGCAGTGTTGCCAACTTAGCACCTTTGTTGCTATATTTAGTGACTTTTCAGACCCCTCTAGTACTTTTATTTCTAAAAAGTGCCTAGCGCAAAATCGAGTGACTTTTTTTTTACTGGAGACTTTGGTGACAACATCTAAAAGCAGCAAACTCTGCTCTCCAGAGCAAGTAGATTGGTAACCCCGCCTCCTGCTCTCCTCTATCTTGTCTGCTGTCATGATTCATGCAGCTATTATTTCATCCAAATGAAAAATGGCGAACAGATAAGCAGATCATGACTTGTCTACAGCGAAAAGAAGGACCGGGTTATTTACTTTTGCAGTCACCTTTTTGGAAACACAGGAAGGAGCAATCAGCTAAGTGAACTTAGTGCCTGGAAAAAATATTTCATTGCTTTTGAGACAGCATGAAAACTCAGCTGAGTACAAAATATAGAGAGTAAAACAACAAGAAAAGGGACAAGAAGAGAGGGACAAAACCTAGAACAAATAACGTATGTCTAGGATGACCAGAAGTCTTCTTTTATCCGGACATGTCCTTCTTTTCAGACCATTTTGGTCGACTACAGTGCAAACACATAGTCCAAACAGGGAGCCAGCGGGGGACTGAGGTACTGAACCTGACCTGGTAACAGTAGCCTGGACACCTGCGTCCCCAGCCCCCTCATCCGGCTGAGGACGGGTGGCTCATGGCTCTTTGCTGAGTCAGTACTCCTTTTCAGAAACCCAAATCTGGTCACCCTAAATATGTCTATTCTATTAAAATTTCTCTATCTGCATAATAGGTCTTTTTTATGTGTCATCTTCTCAATTCAGAGGGCCCCCTGCCTGTCTTTCCCTAGGGCCCCTAATTTCCTAAACCCGCCCCTGCATAGAGTAGCAATCAGAGCTATAACTCAGTGACTGTTATATTATTTCATGTCTCCTAACATTAAATGGTATTTATTTAATCAAAAGGCTTCTCCAAGAAATAGATAAGTTCAGCATTTGAAGCCATTATCCAGCTTTATGTAGAGACGCCAAAGTTTGGCCTATAAAGGAGAATATATATAATACTACACACCAATAAAACTCACTATAACGCTTTTTTCCCCACCAGTTAGATTTAAATACGTGTTTAATGTTACATTTTATCCAACAAATCGTGCAAGTAAAGCGCCCCCTTCCTGGACAGTTTGAAATGTTCTTTTTAAAGACAAACTTATGATGTTTTATGGTTATTTGGTTCAAACAGGCAGCTTTAAATGTAAAAAACAAAACGCCTCCTAAATTATAGGTATGAACGCGATACCAAAAGCAATTAATGTCCTCTACTCTTTGAGTTTAGGTAGAAAGGTATAGGCCATGAAGAGCTCGCCTTTCGGCTGTTGAAATATTTACTGCGACATGGCAGCCGAACGGACCGAGGCCCAGTTTACTCACCGAAACAGCCGAACAAATAGAGCAGCAGCACTACATTCAGAGCCGTTTGTCCTGCGACCATTCGACACATTATTGGTATGAAAGGAGGGTCCCTTTCGGTGACGATTTAAAAAAAAAAGTCCTCAAAGTTGCGTCAAAAGTTGAGTAAAATTCCGCCCATGAGTCAGTTTGGTCCCCGCCTGTCTACCTGTCGGACAGGTGGATCAGGAAGTGGAGCTTCAACTCGGAGAGAGGAGGCAGTCAACTCGAAACTACTGTAACAACGAGGAAAAAACTTATGGTGGTAGTCAGATTCTAGGTTTAACACAAAAGTTAGTGTTTTAGAAGGAAGATGGAAATAGTCACATAAAACTGGAATTACTGTGGTTTGGTTAAGTTTACTCAAAGTTCAAGTTTACTCAAAGTTCTTTTTAAAGGGAAACAAAGTCACCT